TGTGGTAGATGGCTGTTCGTCTACTTTCCCTACACCTGACTAAAATCACTATCCCTGCTCTTGGCCATAGGGTGGACATCATCGGAATCGATGGTCGAACTATCTGTTGATTACTAACAAAATTGAAAAGGCCCACGCACCCTATTTTAACTACCTCTTCTTGATTTCCTTTCAGCAAAAAGGCGGCAGTGACGGCCTACAAAAATTCCAGGCTGAATCCCTGCGCGACCTGCCCATTGTGACAACTCAGGGCACAAAGGCTCTCGCCAACGCTCTGACTGACTGCGTGCACACAGTGGGCGAGAACATGGCGGTTTCGCGAGCTGTCAGCATGAAGCTGGCGCCGGAGGAGAAGACCAGCAAAATCATGGCCTACTGTCACATGAGCACTGCCGGCGGAAAGCGTAACCTTCGGAACGTACAGTTCGCAAAGTACGTCGCCTTCATTCGATACCGACTGCTGAAGGCAGCTGATGAGGTTAGTTGGCAGACTTTCTTTAGCAACCGGCCACTTTGCCCATGTTATGACTTCCTCTGATTTTTACTTGAAATGAACGCATTTTAGGCCTCTCTCTGTGCGTCTGCAGACTTTGTGTGTTCGTAGTCGGATAAATGCTTCAGTATTACTATCAGTTTATTGACGGAAAGATGGGCGAATGCCTTTGAGCTCCGTAATGGTAACAAGGTGGTTAAAAAGGGCATGAATAGAAAAGAGAAATGGAAAAAAATACTTTAATTACATGCTTGTAAGCGAAGAGCGAAAAGGTGGCGGAGTCGAAATAGTAATACGAGATGGCTATTGGCCTAGCACGAGTACTATAATAAGCATGTGTAATACTCTTTCTCTCTCTCGTGAATCAGATTTACACTGATGAATAAAGTTTTTGGTGCATTTTCAGTTTGGTCTTAAATGTGGTCACACAGGTGAAGGGGAATGATATAACGACGGCGTTCTGCGTCGCCAGTGTTGTAAAGGTGGCATCTGACGTGTGTCACGTTCGAATTACGCCCTGTTGAAATCTCCAAGGAAGAACATAATAAGAAGGGCATAATTCTGGAATCCACCCGGAGAAGGGTTTACTGTGTACAAAACCAGGGGTTGCTGTCTCGGGTGGTAATTGCCGCTGGTTAATCTCCGGCGTACTGATGTCCCCGCCACGGGTCTGACCCCGGCCACGAGGCGGAATTGTGGTGTTCTCGTAGTCCGGTGTGTGAGGCAACTCTCTAGTCTGCTAGGGACAGTGGCTTATAAGAGATTGTCTGCGCGTTTTCTTGTGGTCTGATTGGCCGCATTGGGATAGCGTTGTTGTTATTGTTGTTGCTGTACTAACTTAGGGATAGCGTCACGCGACCAGTTGACCCTCGGGGAACAGCGACCAGTTGTGCCTTGCGT